GTGCAGCGACGCGGCTTAATGGCCATTGCCAATATGGTGGAGTCATGCGAAAAAGTCGCCAGTGAAATTGTCGCTGTATGTTTCTTATTTTTTGATTCGTTTATTTTCGCATACGAGGAAGAACGGTGGCAGAGGGCGAGAGGCGCTGAAGAGCAATTCCAGAATCTGGTGAGAGAAGAAATGAGGCGAAATACTAAGAATGCAATGACCGCTCGGATTCCCCTTTTAATGATATTACCAGGATGCTCCAACATATCAAATTTAGCTATTCTAGGTCCTTTGGTTAAGCTGAAGGAATTCTTTAAAACTGACTTTTTTATGATCATTTGATAATGCGACACTGTCAAGGGGTTTAACATCTCTCAAACATTTTTTCGTTCTGTGGGCGTTGCCTTGGTATTATTTTTATCTCTGTTCCCTCCTAATTTTATCCAGCAAAATATGAAATTGACCTCGAACCTTTGCAAAATAATTTTAATTTTGAGAAGAATTCAGCATGTGAGCTTAACTGCAGCATTCATCTAGCTAGTCTCATTGAAGTAATGACAGTCACTATGGGTAAAGTTAACTACATGCATATTTCAAAATTTGGGGTTTCTTCTAGGAAATTAAACCCCTTGAAAGTTTTTCACTAAAGGCTTATTTTTACGATTCATAGTTTTGGCAATAAATTAAAAATATGACATATTTCTTCGAGTAAGGGACAGCGGAAGAATGGCTTACAACCTTTGCACTGTTGCTCGTCTTTATAGAGTGAAATTTTTCGTGTTTTGGTTGCGATAACGAAACTCAAAAACAAAGATCGATCCCCAGCAAAAAAAGAAGCGCAGCGAGCTCTGGATGCGGCTGTTAAATGGGGCATTATTCGACCAACCGATCGTGAAATCTACGAGCAAAATACAGGCATTTCTACAGTGCCTGAAGAATGATTGAATCTTTCTTTTTTGTGGAGTTTTGAAACTTTTTTTCCGTACAAACGTTGTTATGATTTAAAAGCATGTTAAATTCCCCAAGCGCAGTCCCCACAAAATCTCAGGG